CACTATATTGCTTCTACAAGCGTGGGTTGGCACAGGTCAATGGGCGTTTTTTTCCTTTGTACTGCTGTATTTTTTATTAAGCAGAGAAATAAATAATGTCCCCTTTGCACACGGAAAATAAAAGTGTTTGTTACACATCCCATAAGCCATGGGTTATTTTTTAACAGCATTGGTTTCATCGCAAGCAAACCATGGACCGATTTCGACAGTCAGTGTTTCATCAGCAGTCAAGCCTGCTTGAACCAATGCTGGTGAACTACAACATGTGTATCGGCGAAGACCCCATCTCAGACACAGGGCCTAGGTCAACATAAAATTATACAATAAATTATACAAAGTAGTCAAGTTTATTTTATTTAACCAGATGAGAACTCAGGAGGTCAGTAGAGTCTCAATTGAACGAGTGATCTTTGTATAAGATATATATATAACATAACACACACAAATATTAGAATATTTTATGTTGTATATATTTTGAATGTTATTTAAAATAAAAGATGACAGTGCATTGCATCGGTTTTTGATGTCTGTGAAGGAAGGGGCGTGCTTGTGGAGAGTGGTGGTGCAGTGGTTAGCACGCTGCACGACCAACCTGGAAACCTGAATTCGATTACCACTCACGGCCAACACCAGTGACGAATATCTGAACCGGTCCTGGGCCTCTCATAGGGCAACTCGGGCTCAAATGAGTACCTGATCGCAGTGTGTAAACATTGCCACTGGAGGAAACTAATGCTGCCGGACGTGGTTTTGGCAACCCACCCTCTCGCGTGACATGCCGGCCTTTATCGGTGCTGCTCGCTAACAGCACTTGCCCTAACAGTCTGTCTCAGGCTATGCGGGGTATCTTTGTATGAAGCTGCTGTCTGGCGTTAGCTCTGCAACTCTCCCGCGCCCCTGTCAATTCGCTTGAGGCGGTGCCCTGGAATGACTTGGAAACTCGCGTCTACGTATTTAGTTTTAAATTAATCCATTACGGCATCATGGGAACATTTAACGATCCACTTTTGATGAATCCCCTTTTCCAGATAATGGTACAATCAACATAATGCATTCACTGTCTTCGTCCATTAAATCTGCTTACTTCCAAAAAGGGGCCTGTTTTTTTGGACCTTGAAGTTGTGCGGGTCATTATCAGGTGTTTCCAGGATACGCCTCATGTGGCACGGGGTATTCACAGTAAACTGGCTGTTGATGGTGGTGAATATTGCCGTGAGCTTGTTTCCCATGATGTGGGTTTGCATGAAAATGTGTGCATAGCTAGTAAGCAGGGACCTTCCACGACAGCCCGACGTGGTCATTGCTGAGCACCATGCCCCAACAATTCAACATTGTGCTGTTTGCCTTTTGGCGTTCTCTGGTCGAACACTGGTTGAGACTAGGCCTTAAAAAAGCCGTCTCTGGTGTGGACCGATCAGTTTCAAAGACAATCCATATATTACCAGAGCATTTGTTTGTTTACATGTTCACCACAAGTATGTGTGGTTAATGCACACATGATTTTTTGCAATGATTTCTGTTTGGTGTTTGAACATCTTAACACCTGTTTTATTGCCAGAAAGGGTAAAACCTATTCTTATACTGTGATACTGGCAAGAAAGGTCCCATGTTGTGGATGCTCACCCTGAGTACATTGGCTATGTGCTGTTTCCCTTTTGGCGTTTCTGGTTTAACACTGGTTGAGACTAGGCCCTAAAGAAGGCTGTTTCTGGTGTAGACCAATGAGTTTCAAAGACAATGCATAAATTACCAGAGCATGTTTTTGTTTGCATGTTCATCGCAAATATGTGTGATAAATGCAGACATGATTCTTTGCAAATGGTTTCTGTAAGGTGTTTGAACATCTTAACACCTGTGTTATTGCCAGAGAGGATTAAACCTATTATTATAAATTAAAATCGTGATTTATTTGAAGAGTCGATATTTAAAAAAAATCCTTTTTTACTCGCAATGACGATGTGATGTTTGATATGAATGTGGAATTCTTCGCCACTGTAAACATGAAATGAGCACCGCCTAAATGTTCATTTGAGCATGAAATACATTCTGAATTTCGACTACAAAATCGTTTGTGTGTAATTATCTGGCCATTCAAAATAATTGATTTTCAGCACCGCGTGATTCGACGCGCGTATTGCGAGCGTAAGATTTTATTTACGTTGATGGATCATCATTATCGATGCGTCGTTACGTTCCAAGGCTACAACTGCAGAAAACTTTCCGTCCATATGGTGGCACTGTTGGGTGTGCATTGTGTGCAGTGGGCAGTTTTCACCACACGCACAGAGACGGGGCCCAGCTTGATGACGGGAAGACTTTGTTTTGCTCTCGGCAATGGTGGAAAGATATGTATTGGTCACTTTATTTAATGTAATATTTTGTTGACCGTTAAGCGCTGTTGAGTGAAGTGCACCGCTTGGAATGGACATCACCACAGGGCTAAAAACACAAAAAACATTTCCTGAAGGTCATCTGCTCAAAATGTCACGATTATCTCCCCTTGCCCTCGGTGTTGCCATGAAATTGTTTTTCTTCAATAATAATTTGATATTTAATCATTATTTATTTTATTTACGTGGGGCAGTGACTCAGTGGTTCGCGCACCACACGATGAAACCTTGGGTTCGATTCTCGGTCACGGCTCATGGTCAGTGACGTGCAGCATTTCAACCAGTTCTGGGTACCCGCAACCCCTTCAACCCACACTGGCCCGCCTGGTAAAGTGAAGTATGGTGGTAACAACCCCCGTGACCTACAGGACAACACCTTCATCCAGCAGTGGGTTGAGAAAGTGCCGTACAGTACAATGATTACAAAACGTTGAAAACACATGTTAAAAGTTCACCGAAGGAGGATAAACATTTAAAATATATTACATAATTTCAAGCAATCGTTGTTGTACATGGTTTGTATTAATATTAAATGGAAGGCATCTATTAACCAGATACGAGTACAGTGTACTTTGAGAAGTCTCTTTATTAGAGACCTGGGTACAGTATCTGTATTGTTGTTTTTTTGTGTTTTCACTTTTCAGTTCTGGTACATGGATTCTGTCCTGCAACTTTGAAATGGCCCACAACAAGGCTGATCTGGTAGCCTGGATTGAGGAACAGTGCCTCCTTCCTCTGTTGGCATAGGTGTGACTTTATTGGCCGAGAGTTGCGTGCATAGTTGGGGGGGGTGGGAGGGCCGTTGAAAAAAAAGTGGATTGGGTTTGCTCAACGCTGGGATTTGTTTATGGTGACATGCGGGGTGGGGATAGGAAGCTTGCAAGGCCAGCCCGTGTGGCTAGCTACTACAAGGGTATTGTCACGAGTCCACTCCGGGGAGTTGTAAAGGAAGGTGAGCTGTAAGTTTATGCCGTGACCGTACGACAAAATGCTTTCATGTTCCTGCGTTTTCACGGGGCATTTAAAAACGTGCGCGCCCTGGGATACTGACGGGCTCAAGCTGACCCGTAAGATCATCAAAGCCAGACCTGTGGAAGACCCTTCCCCCTAACCGGCAAATGCCACTTTATAGCAGCTACAAAGGCTTTGAAGTACTGTATAGGCAACACGGCCTGTGCGACGCAGCTGTAATAAATGGGTTTTTAAAAAAAATAACAGAAATATTGACACGTTGCCAAAATACAGTAATTCTGGGAATTTTTTTTTGAATGTTCGTTCCACCTGGCAGATTAATCCTACAAGCAATCGTTTTTTCCTTGAAAAAAGTATACAGCATGTACACTGCATTAGCATGACATCAGTCTGTGACGATACACTTGCGAATGGATGGCTATGTATGATTCATAGTAGCTTACAGTACCCTAATACAGTATTATAAAAAAAAATCCTCATTAATGGCTTTGGCTTAAAATACTCGGCTCGGGACCCTCCTTAAAAAGTCATGAGCCTCCGTGAGGCTCCCCTGTATTAAAAAACGAGCATCATTGATTGTATTATTTCACGTGCCAAAAGCGTGGTTGCGTAACGCTAATCACCGATGATCGTCGATCGGCATCATCGTTTGTGTTTTGTATCACATCGGCGCAGGATCACGTTACATTTGCGGAATGGAGGCGAAGAAACCCTTATTTTGTGAATTGAAGAAACCAGGTTCAATGACCACGCTGTGCTCGCTGCTGCTGATGCTGCTGCTGATGATGCTGCTGCTGATGCTGTTGTTGGTTTGTGACGCACGGACAGCCCCGAGGCGGTCTGCGCGCACCGAAAGAGCAGCGACATAGCAGCGCTGCTCCTGCCTCGCTGCAGGTGGTGGTGGTTGGTGGTGGTTGTTGTGGTAGTTGGTGGTGGTGGTTGTTGTGGTGGTTGTGGTTGGTGGTGGTGGTTGGTGGTGGTTGTGGTTGGTGGTGGTTGGTTGTGGTGGGTGGTGGTGGTTGATGCTGGTGGTTGGTGGTGGTGGTTGGTGGTGGTTGTTGTGGTGGTTGTTGGTGGTGGTGGATGTTGTGGTGGTTGTAGTTGGTGGTGGTGGTTGGTGGTGGTTGTGGTTGGTGGTGGTTGGTTGTGGTGGGTGGTGGTGGTTGATGCTGGTGGTTGGTTGTGGTGGTTGATGGTGGTTGGTGGTGGTGGTTGTGGTGGTTGGTGGTGGTGGTTGTGGTGGTTGGTGGTGGTGGTTGTTGGTGGTGGTTGGTGGTGGTGGTTGTGGTGGTTGTGGTTGGTGGTGGTGGTTGGTGGTGGTGGTGATTGGTTGTGGTGGTGGTTGGTTGTGGTGGTTGTTGTGGTGGGTGGTGGTGGTGGGTGGTAGTGGTTGGTTAGTTGTGGTGGCACCACCCCCCACCCAACAACTGCCCACCCTGCACCACCGCCGGTGCAGGAGAGGCAGAGACGGGAGGCCGGCATCTCCCGGCAATGCGCGACAGATCGAACAGGAAACTATTGAGCCCCCAACGTTGAAAAGGGTCCCACCCCCATGACGAGCGACGCCCACTCTGGCATGATCTCCCTCCTCCTCCTCCCTCCTCCTCCTGCGCTGAACGCCCACTGGCTGCCGCGGATTCTTCGCCTTGTCCAGCCCACGGACGAGCCAAGCCAAGCGCAGTCGATCGCAGTTCCTGGGTTTTGCTGCTGTTGCTGTTGCTGCTGCTGTTGTTGTTGCTGTTGCCGTCGTTCCACGCCGGTGACCGTCTTCTGCATCGTGTCGCGCATCCGAGGAAGGGGGTGGCGGGTGAGTGATCCTCACCATCATCCTCATCACCATCATCCGCATCATCATCCTCATCATCCTCATCCTCCTCCTTGGTTTGATCTTGAAATGAAGGCCGGTTCGCGGTGGCCCGTGGTGGTGACGATGATGAACTTTTCTGTTGTTGGTTTGGTTGTTGTCGTCGCAAGAGAATGACAGCCAGCCAGCCTTGCCAGCCATCCTTGGCTCGTTCTCTCTCTCTCCTCCTCTCACTTTGCCGGGGGAAGCGGCGATGGGCGGGCGGGAGAGATCGACTTGCGGGGATGTTGACAGCATTTGTGTGCGCGTATGTTTCTGCTTCTCTCTCTCTCGCGCACTGTGCCATTGAATTGGCTGTCGGGGGGGCGCCCGATGGGATGCATCGGGCACCCCGTGGGTACCCCGAGTGTACCCCGTGGAGACCCCGAGTGTACCCCGCTGGGCACCCCGTGGGTACCCCGAGGGGACCCCGTGGGGACCCCGTGGGGACCCCGAGTGTACCCCGCTGGGCCCCCCGTGGGTACCCCGAGTGTACCCCGTGGGGACCCCGTGGGGACCCCGAGTGTACCCCGTGGGGACCCCGAGTGTACCCCGCTGGGCCCCCCGTGGGTACCCCGAGTGTACCCCGTGGGGACCCCGTGGGGACCCCGAGTGTACCCCGTGGGGACCCCGAGTGTACCCCGCTGGGCCCCCCGTGGGTACCCCGAGTGTACCCCGTGGGGACCCCGTGGGGACCCCGAGTGTACCCCGCTGGGCCCCCCGTGGGTACCCCGAGTGTACCCCGTGGGGACCCCGTGGGGACCCCGAGTGTACCCCGAGTGCACCCCGTGGGGACCCCGAGTGTACCCCGCTGGGCACCCCGTGGGTACCCCGAGTGTACCCCGTGGGGACCCCGTGGGGACCCCGAGTGTACCCCGCTGGGCCCCCCGTGGGTACCCCGAGTGTACCCCGTGGGGACCCCGAGTGTACCCCGCTGGGCACCCCGTGGGTACCCCGAGTGTACCCCGTGGGGACCCCGAGTGTACCCCGTGGGGACCCCGTGGGTACCCCGAGTGTACCCCGCTGGGCACCCCGTGAGGACCCCGAGTGTACCCCGTGGGGACCCCGTGGGGACCCCGAGTGTACCCCGTGGGGACCCCAAGTGTACCCCGTGGGGACCCCGAGTGTACCCCGCTGGGCCCCCCGTGGGTACCCCGAGTGTACCCCGTGGGGACCCCGTGGGGACCCCGAGTGTACCCCGTGGGGACCCCGTGGGGACCCCGAGTGTACCCCGTGGGGACCCCGAGTGTACCCCGCTGGGCACCCCGTGGGGACCCCGAGTGTACCCCGTGGGTACCCCGAGTGGACCCCGTGGGGACCCCGTGGGGACCCCGAGTGTACCCCGAGTGTACCCCGTGGGCACCCCGTGGGGACCCCGAGTGTACCCCGCTGGGCACCCCGTGGGGACCCCGTGGGAGACGCGGCTGGTGATGTTTGTCCGTGAATGCCGCGGTGGCGGTGGGGTGGTGGTGGGGTGGTGGTGGTGGGGGGTTAACTACGCTGAAAGGCCAAGGAGGGTCGCGGCCACTTGCTTGTTGTGCGCTCTCTCGCTGTCTCTCGCTGTGTCTCTCTCGCTATCTCTGTCTCTCTCGCTGTCTCTGTCTCTCTCGCTGTCTCTCGCCGTGTCTCTCTCTCTGTCTCTCTCGCTGTCTCTCTCCCTGTTCGGCGAACTCGGTTTTGTCGGCGGTTCAATGGCGCGCGACGGCGGCTGCCCTTCCACCCCTACCCACCTACCCAACCACCCACCCCGACGCCGCCGCCGCCTGGTGCAGTAGAGACGCGACTCGGCGTCCCCAGTGCTCGCACACACACAGGGAGAGGGAGGCGGCCGCTCGCGCTGGGCACTGCCGCAGTCGCTCGCTCGGTGGCTGCCTTCGCGCAGCGACGGCGCCGCGTGAGGCCACCACATCATCAGCGAGGCCCCCCCCCCACAACCACCTTGACCCCCCCCTTGACCCCCCCCTTGACCACCCCCCTTGATCCCCCCCCTTGATCCCCCCCCCCTTTGACCCCCCCCCTTGACCCCACCCCCCTTGATCCCCCCTTGACACCCTTCCTTGACACCCCCCACCCCCCTTGACCCCCCACAACCCCCTTGACCCCCCCACAACCCCCTTGACCCCACCCCCCTTTATCCCCCCCTTGATCCCCCCCTCTTGATCCCCCCACCCCCCTTTATTCCCCCCTTGACCCCCCCCCCACTGACACCCCCCCCCCCCCCACTGACACCCCCCCCCCCCCCCACTAATAACAGTCTCGCAGTCCGATTCACGTTGGGGGGGGGGAAGGGGGGTTCACTTTAAACACGGAGATGCAATCTGTGTCCCCGGAAAGCTGCACAATGATTGCAGATGATTCAGTACCGCACTTTTACTGATTCAGTACGGCACTTTTACTGATTCACCTTCGCGAACGCACTTGACAAAGGGGAACCGAGTCTCGGTGACAGCCGTGTGTGTATGTGTGTGAGTGTATGTGAGTGTGTATGTGTGTGGATGTATGTGGGAGTGTGTATGAGTGTGTATGTGTGTGGATGTGTGGGAGTGTGTGAGTGTGTGTGCGCGCTTAGATATTATGATGACAGTATTGAAAGAAATGATCAATTCGTGCATTTGTAGCTGAGCCGAGGAGAGGAGGCTCTCGGAGCCGCATTCGCTCGCGCGAACGCGGCGTGCCAAGAGGTTGCCCCCGTGGCGAATATTTCACGTTCGCAAATTCAATGTCTCCGCGGTGTACGGGGGAAGAGCGGGGGGGGGGGGGTGATTGTTTTCAGTGTCAACCGACGGATGAGCAGCAACAGAAATAGATGGGGCACGAAGCTTGGTCCGCGACGGTTTGATTTTAAAATGAACGCCTCGTGTGCTCATAAAGCTTGACAGCCTTGCTCAGTTATGGACACGAGTCTTGTCTGAGGCTCCTCAAGCAAGGCTGTTGCCCCCATCCGTCTATCTGTTTACCCATCCAGCCATCCTCCTGTCCAGCCATCTATCCGTCAACAATACATCCATCTGCCAAGCCGTCCACCCCACCGATCCGCCCGTCGATCAGGTGCCTGCCATCTTTTGCGCGGTCGGTCACGTCGCGTCGTGAACGTGGGCAGACATATTTTGTTGTTGCACGAATTTTTTTTCCTGGCAAACGAATTTGGGTAGGTTTCGTTCGCCCCGTTGGGTTCCTTTATTGCGGAAGAGTGGGCCCGGCCCGGATAACCCCAGCAGGTGAGACAGACGTGAGCACAAATGGGCCTGTGGGCAGGGAGGACGTCGCACGGCCTCCTCACTGTGACGGTGTCTTAACCAGAGAGCGACGGGGAAGCGGAGCGAGAGATGGAAAATATTGCATGGCTTATGAAAGGAACCGTAAAAAACCCCGGGGGGGGGGGGGGGTGAAAGCGGGTTTGCAAATGTGCACAGCGCGGCTTTGAGTGCAGCCGCGTACTGCGTGGGTTATGTAATGGAAATAACCAAAGGACTGAGAAAATATATATGAAAAATATAAATAATGGTGAACAATGCAGAATGAAATGTCAAATGTCACGATGTCCCCAAAGGCGCACTCGGAGGTGTTCGTCGTCGTTAGTGGTCATCGTTCAGAGGCGGAAATTCCACATTCTTACGGCCAGGAGCAGTTTTTTTCTTTCTAAAGGACAACCCCAATACATTTAACCTCTGGGTCAAAGTTCAAATAGTATGCAGTGTGCTGTTATGGAATTCACGCGATTGATCCCGGCAGATCTTTGAGCCTGGATAGTGCTTGAAGGGATGCCCACCGTGCACAGCAGGTGCTATAGGCTGTGGGAGCGACATTGTGGGCAGCGAGGAGCAGTGCAGCAAAAATCCATTGCTGTGTCAATACTGCATATTCCTGTCCTCTCGTGTCGAGGTTTCCCATCTTCGACCAACACCGCCGACCAGTGTGGTGAGGTATAACGGCCATGTGACCTCCAGGGCACGAGGTGGCCTTTCCTCTCGCAAGCGGTGGATTTGCCGCGAGGGGCTTGCTGCACTCCGTCGTTGGCGTTGGCTAAAAACAAATCAAAATGATCGTTGCTGGGAACTTCGTGCCTCCGGTGACGAGGGAAGGCGAGCGTGGTGGCTGGCGGCCTACGCCTCTGTCTGGGGCACCCGTGCGTACCTGGACAGTCACTTTGGAACAGCGCGGATGAGTCATGCCCTAATGACGCTTATAATGTGTCGTTACACACACAGCTGTTTGCACGAAATATTTTCTTAGTGGTCTATGTATGTACGTTAAACTTCTTTCGCACCGTACGTAGCCAGCCGTGCTAATATAATTGGAGGTGCGGTGGTTAAGCGTCGTTCCACAATCGAGCTGACATGGGTTCAATACCTGGCTTAAAGCTGTCTGTAGCTGGTCGAGGTTTTCTCGATGTAAAATTACTCGAGTGGATCATGGGTAGCGATCGTCAGCTGCTTACTGCGAAAAATGGGCAGGACCCTCCTGAACAAGAGTCACGAGAAATCCGCGAGCCTTTCCTGGGCAAACAAGCATAGCAATAATAATATTATTACGTTGACTGACTCAAACTAAAAATGGCCCGGGGACAGTGACGTCGTGGGTGCTATGGCAACAGCTGGCTCCACCAGCTGTCAAACAACTGTCCTTTATAATAGGCATTCACCTAACAAGATCAAGATGTCATCATGGCAGAAGCCGAAATGCCACTCGCGGCATTCTCCAAAGACGTTTCCCACCAGCCTAACTGCAAAGTGCAAAGCCACCTTGAAGTGATCTAGACCGAAAACTAATTTCTTTAGAATAGCTTTTTGTGTTGAGCTTGTTGTCCTTCCAACCGCACCTCCGATTGGCACGGTTGGCTACGTACGGTGCAAATGAAGTTCAACGCACAAGCTTAAAGAGGCATGGTTACTACGAGTGCGCGTGTGTTCCAAGTTTGAAAGCTGCCTGGTGCTTTGCGCAACCTACACTGTAGATTTCGCTCGTTTAAACAAGAAGGTTGAGCACCACTGTTGCCATTTAATTAATGTGAATAATTAATTCACTATTCATTATCAGTTACAGGGTTTAAGGTCACAGAGTCATACATAAAATATTAAGGATTAATATTTAATGGCGTATTGGGGCCAGGGGGGGGGGGTGGAATGGTTGAAGGAGCCTTAAAGGATCGGTTCTTTAGATTCTATCGTCGGCTTATTAACGCCGCGCGTGTCACATTCAATAGCGGTGTCGCTGTCGCGACCCGACCAGAGAGGTTGGGAAGCGATCAAAACAACAACAATGAGATTAAAAAGGTCTTCTGAGAGCCGAATCGCTTCGAACACCACCCCATGCGTTGCTCCATAACGCTCGGCATTGCCCGTGAGAGTTTTGTCAAAAGCCTCCGTTATTTCGAGATTTTTAAAGGCACTGGAGTTGTGTTGTGTTTTTTAAATATATCTGTCTGTAGAATCCCAGGCGTGCGTGGTTCCACGCGGCTCCTCCAGCCCCACGTTCCTCGCGTGCCCTTCCTGTTGGGCCCTGGGTGTCTCCGTGTGTGTGCAGCAACTGCACTTCCTCACCGTCGGTGTGCGCAGAGCGTGTCGGGGTTGGGGTGGTGGTGTGGGAGTTGGGGGGAGTAGGGGTGAGGACGGTGGTGGTGGTGGTGAGTGGGGGGTGGCGGTCCGTGAGTCTGTACGTCCATAAATCCGTCACGGTGTTCGCTGCAGCTGCCTTCACAGAGCGATCTGGGAAAGTAAAACTTGGCCTCTTTGCTAAAGGAAAACTCCGTATGAAAAAAATAAGATGAGGTTTTAGCCTTTCTGGCAATGAAACAGGTGTTAAGATGTTCAAACACCAAACGGAAACCTTTTGCAAGGAATCGTGTCCGCTTTAACCGCACGCACTTGTGGTGAACATGCAAACACACGTGCTCTGATCATTTTGGCATTGTCTTTGAAACTGATTAGCCTACACTAGAGACAGCCTTCTTTAGGGCCTAGTATCACCATAGAACGCCAAAAGACACGGAGGTTCCGTGTCTGTCTGTGGCCAGTAGTTGGGGTATTTGCGCCGTGGATATGCGGACAAGCCCATCGTGGCGACGCTCAACCTTGGCGTTTGGAGCAGTGTCGTCGTGAGCAGCCCTTGAACGGGGCGGTGTGGTGAAGGCATATTACGGGAATTCGCGGCGGTTCATTGCTCGCAATATGAAAGTGCTGCGCGTGAAAACGGACGCCTTCGAATGAAACCCAGCTGTCTTAATATTTGGAAACCGAATCAGGTTTTCCGAGTCCGAGCCGACACGTGTGCGCCCACGCGGAGGAACAGGCGAGCCGGAACTCGAAATCCGGCGCAGCCAAAGCACTGCTCACTCGTTTATTTAACAACAACATAACAACATACAGATGGAGAATGTTGCCACATCTGCGCTGCGTGCACGGTGAGCCAGCCGCACCAGCGCATGCCGCATC